AGCCCCAGGCAAGGCCTGGTATAGGGCTTCCCTCGGGCAGCACTGCAGGGAGCTCATCAGGAGCAGCAAGGCAGTCTGAGAGAGCCAGTGGAAGGCTTGTCTGAACATGAAGTCGATGGCTCAGTTGCACATGACCCTCCCCCCAAAAGTTCCGTAAATCACATATAAGGCCTGTCCAGGGGAGAAAGGAGAATTTATCCACTGGCTTCCATGGATTAGCTTTGCTCCCCTTCTGTATTGTGCATGGGTGAGAACAGTCAGGGGCGAGGGTCACAGACTCTGGGCAGATGAGGCAGGAAGGTGTGTGAGAGGGGTACCATCAGGGTTGGGGGCCTGTGTGACTTTGCTGTCTATTGCCACATTGAGCTGGTTGCTTCACAGCTGCTGTCGGTGGTCAGCCTTCTGCAATGGCATCTGATAGGGGCATTGACTCACACCAATTCTGGACAGCTGGGCAGCCCTTCTATTTGCAGGTGCTTTGCTGGCCCAGGGGCTGCAGCATCACCTGAGGCAGAGCCCCAGGAAGCCCCTGTCTCATGGCTACAAGTAACCACACCCCGAGAGGTCAGGGCTGCTACAAAGAGGTGAACATCTGGGTGGTCAGGAGGGCTAGCAGAGGAGAGACTTCTGAGGTTGTTCCAGAGAATGAGGAGGAGTTTACTGGGGAAAGGATGGCGTTCTCAGTGGCGTGTGACGGAGTGGGGCACCTGGGGGACCCCAGCAGCCCTGTGTGGTTGACACAGGTGCAGGGGTGATAGAGCAACATGACTGGTGGCCACCGCACCGGAGCAGGGTGCCAAGACCCTGTGGGTGACCCAGACTGTCAAAGACTCTGAGGAGAGGAGCAAAGGGGTCTAGTTCCTGGTGCCTGATGCTCAGGGCTTCCTGTCTCCCTCCTGTGCCCCAGTTAGAGCCCCTGGGCCCAGGAAGTCACTGTTCCACCTGCTCTTTCTCAGCCAGCACTCTGCTCCTGAGTGCTGGGCCTTTGCCCACTGTCCACTTGTGGCTGGCAAGGGGGCACCTACCCTTCCCTGAGCCTGAGTGAGCAAGCAAGTGACTTCCATCAGCAGGACCACCACCGGGGGCCAGCGGTCAACACTTCACCAAGAGAACAGCAGTAGGACTGAAGGGCCAGGACAGGCAACCGGTGAGAACCTAGAAAGTGCTGGGGCTGGAAGGTGGCAGGGTTCATCGGTTAAAACCTCCATCGGGGAGCTTCCTACCCATGAGGAAGGTGCAGGGTGTGCCCCCCACACCCCATTCCACCCTCTAGCTCATCCAGCCAGTCCAAACCCAGGAATGTGGACAGGGAGAGGGCCAGGTCCAGGGGCATTCCGTTTCAGCTCTGACCAGGCCTCTGGACAGCTGGCCTCAATTGGAGGGTGTGTGCGTCATTCAGCGAGGCCAGCCAGCACCCACTGAGGGCTGGAGAGTGGGCAGGACTTTGATGGGCGGGCCTTTGAACTCCCAAGCCCCCACCCAGCCCAACCTGATGATGCCTGCCTTGTCCTGGTTTGGAAAGCAAGGTAGCTGAGGCTGCCCTGCCCTCGACTAGCCCATCTGCTGCTCTGCCTGGGGTGGGGAGGAGCTGCCCACTTGGGTTTTCCATGGTGTATTCCACAAGGGTGTTGCTGGGGGGCAGTGAGATTTCAGTTTCCCACCAGGATCAGAATAAAGAAGAGCATTAGAGGTTGGGCCAGGCTCTCAGCTGTTGAGAAACACTCTTCTGCCCATCTGTCCCCTCAGCACCTAGCTGGACATGGCAGCATGGACCCTGGAAGGAATTAATCCTTGGCACAGAGCAGCCCCAGTCCTCAAAGCCAGCCCGGACCCTGCCGTTGTAAGGGCCTCCCTGCCTGAACCCTCTTTCCCCCATCCGCGGGATCTGGCAGACGGTGGGCAGGTTGGCTGCAGACTGTCCTCGAGCCACGCACCTCCCTTCCCTGAGCTCAGTTTCTTCATGTGACATAAATCCGTCCGTCTTATTTGTTTTCTGTAAAACTACTGGTGCGCGGCTGGCCCGGCCCCCAGACCCTAGTGGATGGATGGGGCAGATGGCCCATCTCACTCTCAAGTCTTTACACATCTGTCCTGGGCCCTGGCCTTGGGGAGGAGCAGAGCCCAGCCTGAGAATGGCTGACCTTGAGGGACTCCCACTTTTTTTTTTTATCCTCACCCGAGGACGTTTTTCCATATTTTATTCAGATAGAATAGAGAGATAGAGAGAGAATCATGGATGTGAAAGGGACACATCGAGTGGTTGCCACCTGCACGACCCAACCAGGGCCGGGGACAAACTGCAACCGAGGTACGTGCCCTTAGCGGGAACCAAACCTGGGTCTCTCTGGACCGCAGGCTGACGCTCTAACCACTGAGCCAAACTAGCCAGGGCTTCTTTTTTTTTATCCTCACCCGAGGACATTTTTGCATCCATCTTCAGATAGAGCAGGTTCTTCAGATAGAGCGGGAGGAAGAGAAGGAGGAAGAGAGAGAGAGAGACATCCATGTGAGGGAGACACATCGACTGGTTGCCATCCACACGACCCCAACCGGGGCCAGGGACGAACTGCAACCGAGGTACGTGCCCTTAGCGGAACCGAACCTGGGACTCTCTGGTCCAAGGGCTGATGCTCTAAGTGCTGAGACAAACCGGCCAGGGCAGGACTCCCACTCTTGCCAGGCAAGAAATTTCTTCATGGTTCTACTCCTGCATTAATCTGTTTCCTCTCCTCCTTCATTCCTCTGCTTTGTGCGAGTTTTAATGGTAGACACTTTTTATTGGCCTCACCAACCCTAAAAACCAGCTGAATGGTGGAAATGATCCCATGTCACAGGGGGAGCCCATGGTCCTCGGGTACTGAGAATCACGCTTCAGGCCCCTCTCCCAACCAACCTGGCCTCTGCTCTCTACTGTTCCATGCCACTCCTCATCTTTGCCCTGTCACCACTGCTGCTGGGGACAGTCATCCCTCCGAGCCTTCTCAGGAGAGCTGGAGAGGCCCCACATGCCGGTGTGGAGCAGGCTGTGGAGGGCTGGGCAGAGCCCTGTCTTAGCTGTATGTGTCCCCTCTCTGAAGCCCCTCACTCTCGCTGGCCCCTGGGGACACAGGACCCTGTCGGGGTGATCACTGCAGATCCAGAGAGTATGTTGCTCAGATCTGGGTTGTCAGCCTCCACTTGATGTTGGCCCTGTCCCTCCCATCATCCCATCCAGCTGGACTTCAGTTTTACTGCTGAGATGGGGGTAGGGCCACCACTGACAAACTTCTACAAGTTGGGGCACCATGGAAGACACCACTCATTGGGCCACCTTACCACAGCTTCTTCAGCAGGAATGGGCTTGATTCCTGGTCTCCATTTGTAAAAGGCACCTGTGGGCACGTTTCTATGTAGTTGGTTCCACCTTCTAACCTTCCAACTCAAATGGCCCCTGAAGCCAGCAGGTGGGTTCCAGACCTACCTTGGAGCCATGGGGTGGAGCCAGGTGCCACTTGTCCTGAGTGGACAGACCTGAAGGATGGGCCTTAAAGCATCAAGGAAGCAGGGTCAATGGACTCTGCCAGGTGGGCAGATGGACGCAAGGGAACAGTCACTCAAGGCCAGCTCTGTGCCCAAGTGGGATATGTCCCTTAGGAAATTCTTGGGATCCTCTGACAAATGGGAACAGGATGTGCATGAAATCTCTACTGGATCCATTCCTCCTCTTTGTTTCCAGGAAAGGGGCCTAGGGCAGCTCGCAGGGAATGTACTTGGGGAGACAAAAGTGGCGTTGAGTACATTTACACTGTTGTGTAACCACCACCACTGTTTCCTGAACCCTCTCATCACCCCAAACAGAAACTGTCCCCATTGAGTAAGAACTCCCCACTCCCTCCTTTCCGTGGCCCCTGGGAATCTTTAATTTCCTTTGTTTCTATACACTTTCCTCCTCTAGATGTTTTTTTTATAAGTGGGATTATACAATATTTGTCTGTTTGTGACTAGCTTCTTTTTGTTGAGCATTATGTTAAAACAAATTTTTTTTGAGAGAGAGAAACATTGATGTGAGAGAGAAACATCGATTGGCTGCCTTCCGCATGCACCCTGGCCCAGGGATCGAACCCAAAGCCTGGGAATGTGCCCTGACTGGGAATTGAACCCCCCACCTCTGGTGTATGGGACAACACTCCAACCAACTGAGCCACACTGGCCAGGACCGAGTATCCTATTTTTAAGGTTCATTCATATTGTAGTGAGTGTCAGCTTTATTTCTTTTTATGGCTGAATAATATTCCATTGTATGGATGGACTACATTGTGCTTATCCATTCATATGGATAATGGACAATTGAGTTATTAATTAATTTTAAAGTATAGACAAGTAATGACTATATTATTCTTGGAGACAAAGTTAAGTCTGAATGATAACATCCTCTCGGATGACACCCTTTCTTGCTCTCTGTGGGACCTGACCACCCTTGCTCTCCAAAACTAAATATTTATTTTGTTTTATTTATTTGTTTTAGAGAAATGGATTTAAAAAAAATTTTTTTTCCTTTACTGATTTTAGAGAGAGAGGAAGGGAGAGGGAGAGATAGAAACATTGATGAGAGCCCTGGCCGGTTTGGCTCAGCAGTTAGAGCGTCCGCCTGCGGTCCGGAGAGACCTGGGTTCGGTTCCCGCTAGGGGCATGTACCTTGGTTGCAGTTTGTCCCCGGCCCTGGTTGGTCATGCGGGTGGCGGCCACTCGATGTGTCCCTTTCACATCGATGTTTCCCTCTCTCTCCCTCCCACTCTGTCTGTACAAAAGGAAAAATGTCCTCGGGTGAGGATAAATAAATAAATAAAATAATTAAAAAAAAAAAAAGAAACATTGATGAGAATGTGGATTGGCCGCCTCCTATATGCACCCCAGTAGGGACCTGACCCACAACCTGGACATGTGTCCTGACCAGGAATCAAACCAGTGACCTCTTGGTGCATGGGTCAACGCTCAACCACTGAGCCACACCAGCCGGGCCTAAATATCTATTTTAATCAACAGCAACAGTGTGGGAGGACCCCAAGCTGTGGGGTGGTGGGAGAAAAATGGCTTTGGACTTGGAGTCAGGAAGGCTGGCCTCGAGGCCTGGCTTATCCTGTGGTAAATGGCTTCCCCCTCTGCCTCTTGCTCTTCTTTTTGTGTTCACATCTGCAAAGGATTAAAACACAAGTGACTGACCCACCAGGGCTGCAGGAGAGAGAGAGAGGGAAAACATCGATGGGAGAGAGAAACATCGATTGGTTGTCTCCTGCATGACCCTGACTGGAGCTGGGGATCGAACCTGCAATCTATGAACCTGCAACCTATGAACCTGCAACCCAGGTACATGCCCTTGACCGGGAATCAAACCTGCGACCCTCCAGTTCACAGGCTGGTGCTCTAAACACAGAGCCAAACTGGCCAGAGCTCTGCGGTGCTCATTTTAAATTTATTTTGTGACTAGGTGACACATGTATGTAGCAAAAAATCAAAATAGCACCAAAGAGTATTTCACTGACCGTTACGTGTCCCTCCAACCCAGGCAGCACAGCGCCAGCCCTTACCGTCCTGTATGCCCTCCCAGAGATAGAGTGTCCAGCAGGCATGGGTGTGCCCTGCTGCTTTTTTCCAGTTGTAATATTGTATCTTAGAGATCAATATTTCCAGTTGTAACATGGTATCTTAGATATGGTTCTATATGGATACACAGAGAGTTGCTGATTCTCTGCAACCCATGGACACTACTCCACTGCTGGATACATTATAATTGATTTACCTTCTCAGTCTTTTGCTACTCACAACCCTTGGACACCTATGTTCTGTTCCTTTGTGAACACACCTGCAAGGCAAGTTCTGAGATTCCCCCCTTTCTTTGGAGCAACTATGCTGGAGCCTGAAGGGTGGGAAGCTCTGTGAGCTGGGTCCCCAAAGTGGCTGTGGTAGGTCTGGGGACTCCAAACATGCCCCTCTGGGCCCTCTTCCCCTCTCCTCATTCCTGTGTCCCCTCCACAGACCATGCTCTTGGGAAAGGTTCTAAAACCTTACATCTTAGGCTGTAGAAGGACTTAGCTTAAAGGAGTGTTTTTTAAACTTGCATTTAAACCTTTTATGTAAACAAGATTGCCTATATCCCTTCAAGGTCCTGTGCTGGTGGGCATCAATGTCTTGAGAGGGGAACCCCCGCAGCTACCCCAATAATCACCCAAGGGCAGGCCAGGCAGAGGAGAGGTGAGTGTAGCCCCTAGTCCTCATGCAGTGTCTGTTCTGCCTATTTCCACGGTTGGTATTCCAGCAAGCCTTTCTCTTTATTTGTCCTCCTCTCCCCCATCCCCAGCCTAAGAATGATAATGGGGGATAACCCAGGGGACAGATGATGACTCCTCACCGGATGCATGTTGCTTCATATCTACTTTGACATGGTCTCCTCTTAAATCTTCACAACTCCAAGGCTTGGGGCCAGTGCCCTGTTTCATAGATGCTCCCGAGGCACAGAGTGCAGGGATGGCCTCCTGGGGAAATAAAGCCAGCAGCCGGAGGAGCTGATGTGGGCTGTCCTGGTCATCTCTGTTGACAGTGATGCTACTCAGAGACCCTGGCCCCAACCCCTGCCAAGAGGCAGCCCAAAGTGGCCAGATCAAAGCCTTTTCTTGAAGGTGGCTCCAGCCATTCTCCCAGAGGCTGGAATAGGCACATTTGCAGGTGGGTCCTGGGACTCTCAACCAGCTGGACCCAATGTCCCTAGCCTCCTTCATTCTCTGACCTTGAAGAAGAACGCTGAGGCCAAGTCTCAGAGGGTTAGGAAAAGTCCAGGATCAGACATGACTCCAGCTGGGAATCGAGACAGGAAGAAGCAGAAGAGGTGTGGAGAAAGGTAGTCAGCATAGATTTCATGAAGGTCCAACTTTTTGGCTTTCTAAGAGTTGGAGGGTCTGGGCCTGAGTTCTGGCTGGCCTCATTTGGCCGGACTGGGTCAGTGCTGGCTGCAGGCTCTCCCTGTCCCCCCCACACCCTCTAGCCTACTTATTCCCTCATGCTGCCAAGTTGGGAGCCTGGGCGGAGTCCAGCCATACCCCCAGGGCTCTGTCTCTGATACCTTGGGGCTCTTCCCCTTTCTCCTTTCCCAGTCACCTCAAGGCTGCCAAAGGCCAAAATGAGGTGGCCTGGGTGAAATGCCCAGCACACTCTGGACTCAGACCCTGGCCTCTCCACCCCTAGGGGACAGTAGGCCTCTGCGGGTGCTCTAGCTGTCATCACACTGCCTGTGGCCCAGTGAATAGTGTAAAGCGGGCAGTGGTGGCGGGCACAGCTGGAAGGGGCCCCAGGCAGTCCACAGCGAGTCCTCCCACCCGATTCCAGCCTGGCGGGTCTGGTCCCCAGGGGGCGCTGCGTCCTAAGGTCTGTGGCAGCAAAGCGAAAGTTGCTCCGGCCACGCGGGGCGCCGTTGCGCGTGGGTGCTGCCGGGGAAGCCAGGCACTAGGGAGCCTTTCTTTAGCGCTCCGGCCAGGTCCGCGGGAAAAGCGCCCCTCGTCCGCCCCACGTGCACGCCGAGAGGTAGCGCCGAGGCTCCTGGGGGTGAGGGTCTCGGTCCGGCTTGCCACCCCAGCTGAGAGGGCCGACGGGTTGCGCGGGCGCGTGGGGCAGGAGGGGTGCCAGGCGCGTCGGGTCGTCGAGGCAGCGCGGAGGCGGGCACGCTGAGGAGGGCGGGCGGGGGGGCGGGGGCCGAGCTTATAAAAGCCCGCGGGCGGCGAGCGAGGGAGGGAGGGAGGCAGCCGCCAAGCCGCCCAGTCGCCGCCCGGCCCTGCTGAGCCTCCGCGAGCCGCGGATAGCTGCGCGCTGCGCTCGCGGCGGGGCAGGGCTCTCCCCGGAGTGGACGCGGGCCCCGAACCGAGGCGGGTCGTGCGGAGGCGCTCGGGTCCCAGTCTACAAGCCAGGGGTCCGGGCCGCGGCGCACGGCACGCGAGGCGACCCGCCTTGTGCACCATGGCGCGCCCAGTCCGGATGCCCCGCGCCGCCCCTTAGCGCCGCGGCGGCCCAGCGACCCCGGGCCCACCCGCGGGTGCCCCGGGCATGGAGCCGCACGTGCTCGGCGCCGTGCTCTACTGGCTGCTGCTGCCCTTGGCGCTCCTGGCCGGTGAGTGGGGCAGGCGCGGCGAGCTCTGAGGTGGGACACGGCTGTGGGGACACGCTCCCCACTTCCCGGCCCCGCCGCAAGCGAGGTCGGCCGGGGCGGGGGCCGTGCGCGGGCGGGCGCAGAGATTCCCCTGGACGCGCGGCCCTCGGCGCCCACATTCCAGAAGCATGAGAGCGCCGGGGCCGCCGAGGAGGCGCGGGCGGTCTCGGCAGGGGCCCCGTCCGAGCACCAGGCTGGGAGGGCGGCGGCGGGTTGGCAGTCGGGCGCCCACGGTGCGGCCCCGCGAGCGCCCCGGGGGAGCGCGATTGGCTTCTCCAGGGAGCAGGGCCCCCGCGAGGGGATTGTTTGCCCCTGTGGGATGGGCTGGAGAGCTGGTGAAGAGGGCACAAATCTCTTTTTCTATTTCATGTTAAAAAAAAAAAAAAAAAAAAAGCGCAAACTTGCATCATGACTTCCTGACCAATGTGGGAGAAGGCGGGCTTCCTGCCTGGAGCTGTTTAATCTGGAGCCTCCGGAGCAGAACTAACGTCTGTGCCCGGGGCGCGGCCCCCCCACTCTTCCCTGCAGGACCCCACGCCCCGCCGGGCTCGGGCAGGCGCATGCTTTGGAAAAAGTAGTTCGGGTTGCTCCCTGCCATCCCTCTCAGTGCCTGGCTTACTCCGCTCTCTCTCTAGTGCTGTGGCGGGCACCGGGCAGCTGGGGCTGGGCTGGGGGAGGGAACCCCCCCAGCAGGCTCTGGCCTTGGTATTAGAACAGAGGGTCTCCAAACCTGGCATTAGTGTCGCCCCTTCTGGAAAGCTCATCCTGTGGTTCCCTGTGGTTCTCCGCGCTGTAAGGCCTCTCTTCTGCACCCTCCCTGCCTCCACTGTGCCCAGGGCAGAGTGCCCAGAAACTCATTCCATCCCTCACACTGCCCTCAACTCTCTCCACGTGAGGCTGTCTCTCCTGGGTGTGAGCTGGAAAATACTCTGATTGAAATAATTTACAGAACCATGGAAAGGTTTGCATTGGGTGCAAGTGTCTGTTGGATGGAAATGTCAGGCCATGGTGGATGGGGTTGTTTTTGTTCCGAAAGTCTTTCCAGAGCCTCCCCACTCCCTCCAGGTAGGCCTCTGCCAACTTCTGTGATCGGTAGGTGCCGGCTCTCAGTGGGCCAGGAACGTAGAAGATCCACAGCAGCCTGCACTTTGGCTTTTAGACAGACTGTGTTTTGATTTGTAGCAGAGAAAGGTGGTGAAACTTGGGAAAATTTTCAAGACCAAATCAATGAAAACATTGAGGTCGGAGAGGAGGGTGTGAGTCCTCCCTTGTGTGTGCTGGACAGCCTGGTATGTGCATGGACAGTGCAGGGTCAGCAGGCTGTGCACAGTGCCTCTGGAGAGCCAGAGGGTACAGACAAGCAGGACAGACTCAGCTAGAGGTCGGCTTAGAAGCCGGTGATAAGAGGAGTAGGGAAGGACAGGTAAACTCAAAGGCGCAGGCTCACCTGTCCTGCCCACCAGCGCACCTGGATCCTCCTTGGCCTGGCTCTTCCAGAGGGAGAGAATCAAGTCGCTTAGGCCTGCAAAGGTGGGGGTCCTTCCTGAAAGGCACTTGTCGCCTAGATGGTGGAGTCTCCTTGCGCAGGGTCAGCAAACTTTTTCTAGAACGGGCCAGATGGTAAATATTTTCACGTCGTGAAATCTTCGGATATTTTTCCAACCGTTAAAAAATGTAAAAACCACTCCTAGCCGGGGGCTGAGCCAGAACAAGTGGCGGAGCCGATTCGGCCCAGGGCCCAGAGCTTGTTGACCGAGAAGTAGGCAGGGGTCCTGGGTTCTTTTCTGGGTCTTGGCTGCTCCTCCTGTGGCGCCGAGGAGAGGTCTTTTGTCCCTGGAGCGGAGGTGGCCCTAGCGCAGGGTTTCCACCTGGGTCACATTAGGGTCACCTGGGGAACTTGATGACTAGTTCTTTGTACGTGTTGCTCAGTTTTTCTATAAACCTCACTGCTCCCAAAATTAAGTCTGTTCATTTCAAAGACGGCTTGATGCCCAGGCCACACCCCACACTCATTCTGTGCCTGGTTGTGGGGCTTGGGCTTCAGTATTTTCACTCAAGCTTTGAGGGAGGGCGATGTTCAGCCGGCCTGGCGGCCTGGCGGGGGATACCTGAGACTCTCCGTCCGAGGCCTGGGCAGCTCCCGTCCCTAGGGACCCACTGGCGGTCCTGCTGATAGCTGCCTGGCTGGAGGTGGAATGTTTGCTCTTTTGTCTCCTGAGCGCCTCCTCTCTGACAAGCTGTGGCTGGAAATGGCTATTGGAAATGAGGGCTGGGTGCTAGGTAAGGCCTTCAGAGGATATTAGTCAGACCGGTGCCGGCTCAGGCAGCAGTCGCGGGGAGGGTTTGAGTCATCCTGGAGTGCCCCTCGCCCCCATACCCGAAAAGCCCAGCTTAGCCTCGTCATCATGGCAGACTCCCCGACTGCCCCTGTGAAGGGTGGAGGCCTCAAGCAGCTCCCCTCTTGCCCCTGGAGCACTGGAGGGTCAGGAACCAAAGCTGGAAACTCGTAGAGAGATGTCCGGGCAGAACGTTTTGTGATCCCCATAGACCAGGCCACACCTCCTGACTCTGGACCTTGCAGGGGCGGCCAGAAAGAAAGTGGGTCGCTGCAGGGGAGGTGGTTGGGAGGCAGTAACTGTATGACTACATGAACCTGGTAACACAGTGTATGGCTTCTGCCTGTAGGACGGGGCCTCTGGCCCCGAAGGCACGCCCACCACACTCTTGGGCGGCACTTGCACCAGACCGACTGTCACTGAGAAGTGTTACCATTTAGAATGGAACACTTCCTCCTTTTCATAGTGTTGTCACCACCACTGTCTCCACACCCCTGTGGAGGGCTTTTCGCTGGGCAGTGAGAAACGGGAGGCATGGGCCTTGGGGCCTTGTTAGGGGTCTGGGTCTGAGAAGTCATTTGCCCAGTCACCCCTTGGGGGTGACTCAGTGCTTGGCTCCCAGAGCAGCACAGATCCCAGGTGTGTCCCATGCAGAGGCCACTAGGACCGAACGCACCCAGACTGCGCAGCCATGGAGCTGGGGGAAGTCCTGCTTTCTTCTGTGACCCTGGGGGAGAGACGCCGCCTTGTGCTGGCCCCCAGGAGGACTGAGGTGCCTGGTTGACAGGACTGAGGGGTGTGTGTGTGTGGGGGAGGGGCAGGGTCTGCCCAGGAGCCGAGGATGGGTTACTTGTGGTCATCTGCAGGCCGTCATGCTGCCGGCAGCCAGGGCATGGAGAGCCCAGGGCCCAGCTGGGAAGGGTCATACAGAGGAAGTATTGTCTCTGGAGGTGGGAGTGCCCAGTCTCGGATCTTGGCCCCACAGGCTGCTTCCTGGGCGGTGTCTCCCCAGTTATGACAGGGCACTGAATTTGCTTTCAGTACCCAACGATGGAGAAGAAGGAGGGTAGGCCTTCTTGACTTCGTCTGCTCTGAGCGCAGCCACGGGGACTGCTTTCTGTGGCAGGTGGGAGATGGGGCCAGCCCACCAGAGGGGTTGTGGGTGTCTCCCGTCCTGCTACTACACCGTCAGGGTCCAGGGTCGCCTCCTCTTACAGGAAGTCACTCTTGACCACTCTGGTCCTCAGAAATCCCCCTTTCTTTAGAATTCAGCAAAATGTTGGGGGTTTATTTATTATCTGTTTTAGAAATATATAGACTACTTGCCCGGCTGGTGTGGCTCAGTGGTTGAGCATCGACTCACGCACCAAGAGGTCGCTGGTTCGATTCCCAGTCAGGGCACATGCCCAGGTTGTGGGCCCGATCCCCAGTGGGGGGCGTGCAGGAGGCAGCCAGTCAATGTTCTCTCTCATTGATGTTTTTGTCTCTCTTTCCCTCTCTCTTCCTCTCTCTCTAAAATCAATAAAGAAAAAAATTATTAAAAAAAAGAAATATATAGACTACTTAAATGTAGATGTTCCCCTTCTGGTTGCCAAAGCAATTTGGTCCTTCCTCGTGATGAGGACCAAGCATCGGAAGAAGGCAGCACGTGTCCGCTGGGCAGGGAACCCGCGTGGTGCGCTCGCCTCAGGTTTGTCCTCCAGGGGTACAGTGTGGCCGGCAGCTCTGTCTCCAGCTCCCGGTCCCCCTCACCTGAGTCTCCTGGAGAGGTGGGTGGGGTGGGGCAGGACTGCATGCACTACACTCTTGACCTTTGAACTCGTCTGAGTGTACCTGTTTTCTGGATGAGGACCCTGGGTTTGAGGGAAGTTATTTCACTCACCCAAGATCACACAAGCTGGGGATGAAATCTTTTCCTTCCTGGGGCAGGCGAGTCCCATGCCTGTTGCAGGATTTCACCTGTTGGAAACCCTGGGGTGGAAGGTCCTGGGGAGGTCAGAGAGGGGAGGGGACAGGACAGATGGGGGAGGCCCAACTGACTTTGTTGGACAGGTTTATGGGCCACTCTGTTCTGCTCTGACCTTGGTAGGCCTTTATCCCTCTCTCTGGGCCTCAGTTTCCTTGCCTGTAAACAAGACCCAAAAAGCTTGAAGGCCACTCTCAGACCTCTGATCTCTTGGTCCCCGGGGCTCAGGGTGCGAGCAGAGGCAGTGCAGCCCCCATGCACAGTCCTGGTGGGCCAGGAGCCCCAGAGCGCTCTCCCGTGTGCCCCACGCTGGGCCCACATGCTGGTGGTCAGCAGCCAGGTTGGGCTTCCTGGGAGCAGAATGGAAGGAGCCGCCAGCCACTGGGGTTCATGCACAAAGGACTGCCCTCCAGGCGCGGGCAGGTCCCAGGAAGGGGGAGGGGAGGTGTCCAGGGCTGGCCCAGGGACCTCAGGTGTCTGTAGCCCAGCCCTTGGCCAGTGCACACGATGCCCACCGCACAGATGCCTGTGAGCTCGAACAGGACCCTCCCCGAGTTTCCCCAGATTCATTCGTGCGTTCTCATCCAGATCTCCAGGGACTGAGCTCTGGGCAGGAGCCAGGGGCCTAGTTCTGGTTCAGGGCCAACGGTGGAGGCCATGGGAGGGTCTAGGGTGCGTCCTTCTCCCTGTCTAACCAGGCTTGGTTTCCTTGGCTGTAAAGGGAGGTCTGGGGTCCCCCAGCTCCTGGCGTTTGGTTCTGGAAGTGCCTTTGCTATGTTTAATCATGCAGCGGCGTGCTGAGCACAGGTGGGCAAGAAACACAGTGCGACAAATAAGCCACACAAGACGGGGTCCCCAAACACTACCATATATAACAAGGTCCAGGCTGGGCATGGGGCAGGGGAGGGCCAGTCTGCTGGAGAGAAAAGCTGGCAGCCAGGCAGGATGGCCCCTCCAGGGCCCCAGACCAGTGCAGCACCCCCAGGTCAGGCCCTCTGTCTCTGGAAGGAGCCTGGTGGATGGGGGTGTTGTAGGGGGTGCATTTTTTTCTGGCTCAGATCCCCTGGTAGTGGCCAGGTGGAGGTGGGGAGAAGGGGCGGATAAGCCGAGTAGACAGTTGGGGCTAGAGGGACCTGAGACTTGATCCTCATCCCCCTAGTTTTGATTTTTTTAAATTTAGGTGTTTTTTTTTTTAAATTTTTATCCTCACCTGAAGACATATTTACATTTATCTTGAGATAGAGCGGGAGGGAGAGAGGGAGGAAGAGAGAGAGAGAAACATCGATGCGAGAGAGACACATCAACTGGTTGCCACCCACATGACACCAACCGGGGCTCGGGAACAAACTGCAACCGAGGTACATGCCCGTAGCGGGAACCGAACCCGGGTCTCTCGGGTCCGCGGGCGAACACTCTAACCGCTGAGCCAAACTGGCCAGGGCGAAAATTTAGTTTTAATTACTCATGTAACGTGTGAATACGTTTCATAAAATAGTGACATTTTAAATCAGATAAAATGAAGTTTCTATTTTAACCCTTTAGGCCCATTGCCCCCTCACCTGCTCTTGGAAGGA